AAGAAAACGACAGTGGAGCAGTTTATCTTTTCTCTTCCTCTCAATATCGTCAGGGCAGAAGTACTTTAGGTGCTTGGATGCTCTACTTATCTTTTTATGTTCCCCTTTCTCACAGAATTTGACCTCCTGACATCCCCTTTGCTATCTTGTCAGTTCCTTGCTAATTTTTAAATGATAAAAAAACTTACTGAGTAATTAAAAAAAAAAATTTGTCAGAATAACCTAGTCTGTCACGACCAAAAATGGAAGTCTCTCTACATTTATTTATGTTTTTATTTATTTTTAATTTAATTTTTAAAATTTATTTATTTTGAGTCAGGGTCTCACTGTCACCCAGGCTGTAGTGTGGTGGTATGATCATAGCTCACTGCAGCCTCAAACTCCTGGGCTCAAGTGATACTCCGACCTCAACCTCCTGAGTAGTTGGTATTATAGGCGTGAACTCTTTATGAACTAAGAGTGATTTGTTTGGAGAATTTTACGCATAAAATTTACAATCTTCTTTGTAACAAGAATTTTTCTGTTGCATAGCTAGACTGTCGAGCTCTGTACTGTCCTATATGGTTGCCACCAGCCACATGGGGCTGTTCAAATTAAAATTAATTAAACTCAGAATTTCTGTTCTTCAGCTGCACTAGCAACATTTCAAGTCCTTAATAGCTAATTTGGCTAGTGGCTATTGGGCTGGACAGTGCACACATAGAATATTTTCATCATTGAAGAAAGTTCTATCGGACAGTGCTAGTGTAGATGAGGTATTTGGGAAATTTTTATATATTAGATTACATTAAAGCAAGCCCCAGCTTAAACAAAATTGCATTCAGACAACTTTATTAACTTGGATAGCATGAAAATATATTTTAGTATGACAGCAGAATTGCCTCAAGTTTTGAGCTAGTAGAGTCAATATTAATGAAGAAAACATAAATATTTATGTATCCATAATATAGTTATGTTTACTGTATCTCCTTATAATTTGCTGAAAGATGAAACAGAAGACAAAGATAGTAATAGAAATCTCAACCCACCAATAGTAAGTTCTACAATCTGAACATCTAACACGTAACTCATGAATAAAATGCAACAAGCTGAGATGTTTGGCATTTTTTTCCTGTTACCATTATTCACATTACAGTATATAATACATACATTATTGGGGCCTAAATGTATGCCCAACCCTGCGATTATACAATAATGGAATGAGTTGGGAATTGAGAGGAGGGTTTGATTTTCTCACTCCTACCTAAAAGTGTGACATACTGTAGATAGGTATTCAGTTCTTCTAACCTTATATAAAACTTCCATTCTTCCGAGATTCATATCATCCAAATCACTATCTGGCTTCACTCCTATCTGGCTTAATAAATAAGGGTCACTTTCGCTCTCTCTCTCTCTCTCTTTTTTTGCTTAAGACAAGTTTTCACCATGTTGCCCAGGCTGGTCTTGAACTCCTGGACTCAAGAGATCTGCCTGCCTCAGCCTCCCAAAGTGCTGGAATTATAGGCCTGAGCCACTGTGCCTCTCTCTCTCATTTATTAAGGAGTCTGATAGCCTGTTCATAGTATGAACTAAATTCTAAGTTTCAGTAGCATCCTAAGTGACTTTCACATCCCTATGTTAAAGGTCCTCCTCCTCAAGACTTAAGGTTTTTGAACTCCTTTACCTCCAGTCAGGTTAGGCACACACTCCCATGGCCACACTCCAGATTTGTCAGTTTGTCATCATTGAGAATATTCTCACTTGTCTTATCTTTAATTGAAATACATGTCATTCTCTGATCTCCTTACCTTCTATCTCTCTCACCCTGTATTTCCTACTACTCTGGTTCTTTGATTTTTATGGCTTTTTAAGTTAGGTCCTTAATTTATTCCCTGTTAGCCCTCTTTGGACTCCACTGTTACTCCTGGCATGGAGCCCATGACTCAGCACTTCAATCATTCTTACCAATATCCCTACATTTTTCTTGATTTATTGTTCTGTTGTAATCTTGTCTTTCACAAATCCATTCTCATCTAAAGCATCAATCTGAGGCTCTTTCAATGGTTTCTTAATGTCCCAAGATAAAGATCACACTTCTTATCCCTCAGGCCTTACACTTAATTTTCCTTCTGTCTAAGATGCTCTCATTGTCACTTTTTTCTGGTCACCTTAGATTTGCCCTTCATGTCTCTAGCTTCCTGTGGGACAAAGTCCTTAAGTCCCTAATTAGGTTAGGTGTCATTCTATGCACTTTTATAGCATCCCATACTAATCCCATCATATCACTTATCACTCTGTATTATAATTTTCTGTACCTAAGTGATTTCCCAATAAATGTATAAGCTCTTTGAGGGCAGAGATTGTCTTTTCCACCCAAGCATGGTCTAATATACAACAGGCATTCAATTATTTTTTAAACAAATGAATAAATAACACTGGTAACTCTAAAAGATCATCATAATTGAAGTTACATGTAATTATTCCAAAATACTCCAAAATACAATTTTAATAGAATTAAATATGACAAATCAATTATATAGGTGACAGAAGGGCAGAAAATAGAGTAGGGTAAGGAAGATTAGGAGTCCTGGAGTTGTATGGAGTGTAGAGGGCTGCAATTTGAAATTCAGTATTCAGAATGGTCTCATTGAAAATGTGACAGTTGAGTAAAGGTGATGAGGTGAGAGAGTTAACCACATAAATATTTTGGGAGAAGAGTACACAAGGCAAAGGGAACAGTTACTGCAAAAGCCCGAAGGTAGAAGCATGTCAGGCACGTTCAAGGAAGGAGGCCTATGTTGCTGGAGTAGAGACAATGATAAAGAAACTAGTAAGAGATGAGTTCAGAGAAGTAATGAAAGCCAGATTGTGTAGACCTTGCAGGTTGTTGTAACGACTTTGGATTTAAGTAAAATGGGGAGCCATTGTGAGGTTCTGAGTAAAAGATAATCTGACTCACTCTGCCTCCTATATTGAGGACTGGATAGTAAAGGGGAATCCTCATAAAAGGCTATTAGAGTAATCCTGTGAAAGATAACAGTAACTTAGACCACAGCAGCAGTAGTGAAGTTAAGAAGCACCTACCATATACTTGGAAGGCAAAACTAATGGGATTTCCTGAGGAATTAGATATAAGCTATGAGACAGAAAAAGGTGTCAAGAAAGACTCCAGGATTTTTGGTGTAAGCCAAATGGAGTTGACATCTGAGATGGGAAAACCTGCTGGAAGAACGAGTGGAGAAAATGTTTTGGGGATAACAGTTGGACATGTGAAACATTAAATGTCCATTAAAAGTCTACTCAAATAGTAAGATATGAACCTGAAATTCATGAAAGAAGTACAGGCTGAAGATATAAATTTTTGGGTCAAATGGCAAATAAATGGTACAAAAGCAATGGAACCAGATAAGATCACCAAAGAAAGGAGTACTGGTGAGAGCAGAGACACAGGCCACCGACTAACTCCTGGGTACTCTAACATTGAGGTCAGAGTAAAGAGTAGGAACCGGTCCGGTGCGATGGCTCATGCCTGTAATCTCAGCACTTTGGGAGGCCGAAGTGGGTGGATCACCTGAGGTCAGGAGTTCGAGACCAGCCTGGCCAACATGGTGAAAAACCCAGTCTCTACTAAAAAGTATATATATATGCTGTCAACTATATGCCAGGCGTGGTGGCACACGCCTGTAATCCCAGCTACTCGGGAGGCTGAGGCAGGAGAATTGCTTGAGTCCGGGAGACAGAGGTTACAGTGAGCCAAGATGGTGCCACCGCACTCCAGCCTGGCGGACAGAGTAAGACTCTTGTCTCAAAAAAATAAAAATAAAATAAAGAGTAGGAACCAGTGAAGGAGGAAGAGGAGTAAGCATTAATGTAAGATAACAACTGCAATGTAGTTTCCTGGAAGCCTATTGAAAGTGAAGTAGTAAGCTGAAGACTCAGAATTGACTATTAGATTTAACAGCATGGAAATCATCTGTGACTTAACAAGAGCATTTCCATAGAATGATCAAGGCAAAAACCTGATAGGAGCCATTTTAGGAAAAAAAAAATGTGAAGAGAGGAAATGGATTCAGTAAGTATAGACAAATCTTTTGAGAAATTTTGTTTCAATGGGAAACAAAGCAATAGGAAAATAACTAGCATGGTTTTTTGGTTTGTTTGTTTACAGATAGGAGCATGTTTGTGTGTTTATGAAAAAATTCAGAAGAGAAGATGTTAGAACAATCATCTGCATATTTATAAAATCACCAAGAATTAAGACAGAAGTAGAGGTGGAGAGCATGAAAATGTTAACAGTCTAATGACATTAATTAAAAGGTATGGTTTTTAGATAGGGGAAGGAAGAGTGATCTGGAGGAGTAATGAGATATAAACACTGTCAATCCACTTTCAGGCTCCGTCATTCAATGGCTAAGAGAGAAAACAAAAGCCTACCAGTTTGAAGACTATAGGAGAAGCATTATCTTCAGAGGAAGAGCTAGTTTCCATTAAAGTAAAAAGGTAAAAGGAAGGAAAATTCAGAGAAGTGATTATTAGGGGTTTTGAATTCCTGAAGGTACAGGAGAAGTTTCAGTAATTGGGCAGGGATAGAAAACAGAACAGAAGAGGAAATATACAGCATCTTGTCTATTGGATGAGGGATGATGTAGGAGTCTGGGACTTCTTGCAGTGGCAAACATAAAATTGAATAAAGGGCATAATAAGATTAATTCTGTGGAGTCAAGAAAGATAGTGGTGTTGAAGTTGTGAGTGTGTGGGACAGGGCAGTTCAGAGTGTGTGGGCCTCTCTTGATATCTGTTGGGGGAAGAATATACTTGTTCCCAGTGCTGGAGCTCCTCCTTGACCCTTATTAATGGAATTGATGGAGCTGAGGCCAGCTCCATTCATTATTAACAATTTAGAAAATTAATGTGACCTTCACACACATGAATTTCTTATCAAATAGTTTAAAATTTAAAAAATTTCCCTACTCTAGGGAAAGAGTAAGCTAATTTTTCATAGAAGAGTTTGGTTTACTTACATCTGTGTTACAGGAGCGATACCGTTTCCTTTCCCCAAGGCAATATTTTCCACCTCCTGAAGGTCTGAAAAAACATTTTGTTTAAAATGTGAATATAATACATCTATCCATACAGAGTATATATATTACTTGATGAAAACATACTAAAGTTTACTTTCAAAAACTGTATCATTTGACATGTTTTAATTATTAATCATGCTGGTGATTGTTAGCAATAATTATGGTTGTTGAACATAAAAATTAAGGCAATTTATTATTAATTTGTATTAATAGTACTATTAATTTTATATTAATTTACTAGTAATTTATAAGATTTTTAATTGTCATGATTTATATTCTCAAGAAAATCAATTGAGTCAATATACTTTCTAATTATCATAGTAAAAATAACTTATTTATAATGAAAAGATATTTAAATCATATTCAACAAAATCCATAATCTGATGCTACATGTTTACCAACTAGGAAATGGAAAGTTTGTTTTTACTCCAGACAGGAAGCAAGGAAACATGAAATAACTCCCTGGAAATAGCTTTCATTCAAAGTGAATAATGCAAAAACAAATCTCCATCTCATTTCAAAATAGTCCATGAAGTTTAAAAATTTAAATCTAAAAATCAGATGGCATTGCATTATATAAATACTAAATATTTTATATTTCACCAAAATTAATGAAACAGTAAGACATCACATATTTGACCATATAAGTTATCTTTAAAGGATTTAACATTAGGGAAAGCCATTGCTATTATTTGGGCATACTACCATTGAGTGATAAAAACAACTAATTTCTTCTTTTAAAAGAGGTCCAGTTTTTTTCCTTAAGTATCTGCGTATATTATTTATCACAGGGTTTTTTATACTTTTATTAATTTATAGCAGCTTTCAGTTGAACTTAGGTTAGTTATTCTGTAATTTTTAAAAAATGATCAAGTCTAAATCATAATTTTGGCTCACTGGTATCAATGGGATCATTAAAGCTACCTTTTGAATATATTTTGAATGCCAGTGAATGCTGACTCTAAGTAAGGAAGGGAAATGGCTCAGCTTGAACCAGCTTTGGAGAAATGGGTTGGTCAGATAAAAACAAGATAGTGGGGATGGTGGTAGCATGACTTGTTTATGAATGGGTAACAGGAAGCTCTGTTTAGCAAGAGGGGAATAACTGATAGGAAGTGGCAGAATGGAAACACAGAACTAATATAAAGCAAAACAAGTTAAAAGAGTAAAAGAAAAGACAGTTGGAGATAGGACCCAAAGAGAGGGATCCTGAGTTAAAAATGGAGAAAAACAAAAAATAAAAATAGACCATCTTTTATCTCAGAAGGAGAAAAAAAAAGGAAAAGCATTATCATAACATTATTCTCCTTCGAATACTAGCTGGGAAAGAAGGTCCTCAACCAGCGTTCTAGACAAAAATGGGCACTTGACATGTGGCAGCCAAAGAACGGTTTAGTCTTAGGGAGGACAAGAAAATACAACCAGAGGAACCGTCCACCTGTAATGGGCATGAAGCACTGGTAGGAGGGAGAAGCAACAGAGCTAGCAAAGAATACTGATGGTGCTGGCCTTGCGCCAGGGGGACTCAGGCTGGAGAAAAGAGTGGTGGGAGAGGAGCAGTCTGACCTGCATAAAACAGTCATGGGGAGAAAAGTGGTGGCAGCTCCGGAAGATGATTAATGGGGGCATATGAATGGAAACTATTTTAACACATGGGCAGTATTCTTTTCATTGTGATTTGTGATGCGAATCAAGGCATTTCAACCCTTGAAGTGCTCTCATTGGTCCTTTTAATACTAATGTAGCAGTAATAATTTTATGTGACATGTGAAAAGACCTTAGGTTTCCTGGGAATAATAGTAATGTAGCTAAGACCAGATTTGGATTCATCCATAATTCAGTAGTTTTTGAAGGAGGAAATCTATCTGATTATTATTAGATTAAAAGTCTGGCTTATCTGGGACAGATATACAATACTTTCTATTTTTTACATTTTATTTTTAGTTACACAATAAGGGGAAAGGAAGAAAAAGAAAGTCTGTTTAACAAAGCTCCTCCACCTTCCTGTGCCTATGGCTTGTTCTGAAGACAAGTACTTGGCTCACTAGTGAAACTAGTTTTTACAGATAACATGTGAAACCACAGCTTTGAATCATTTCCAACTGTGTCTTTTTGTTGGCTCCGGCTTACTTTAGCTACTTACGCTGGACTGTCACAGTGTCTTAGGGATGAGGAGACGCCTCCCCCGCAGGTCCTGCTGCACTCTCCCCATAGTGACCAGGGACCCCAGCCCCCATCTATGCTCTGGGGCCAAGTGCCAAAAGGAACACAATCTCCCTGATAACACCACTGCAAGATTTCACAGAAAACACAGAATTAGCTGTTAGGCAGATACAGCTATCAGGACAGAAATACATAAGGGTCAGGTACTGACCAATTATAGGCATTAGCATTCTCCCAATAGATAACAGACAGATTGTTCTCTAACTGTGTTCAGACATTGGTGAAGGTTCATGTGACTTGCAAATGATCTTAGCTAGGCCATGATTTATAAGCCTCTAACATGTATTGGGAGTTCTTAAAAAAAAAGTCACATTGCTTCTTTTCCCTTGTTTCTATTCCTCTAGACTTTTAGTGTTTCTCATTATAGAGCTAGCTATAGACCTCAAAGTCTTTTTTAGATATTTTTGTATTTTCTTTAAAATTTTTCTTTATATTCCACTATTATTGGACGCATGGAATGATAGCGCAATATGGAAAGTTCCCCAGTAAGGAATTTTTATGATGGTAATTGCTCTTTCTTAAAAAAAAAAAAAAAAAAAAAGATTGGTTGAGGCTACAATAGTAAAAGAATGTGTTGTGGCATTTCATCTACATGAGCACTGCAGACATAATAAAAGTAATGCCAAGACATTAGGGACTGGGTACAAAAAAACCCTTTATACACCGACTAGCAATGTGTATGGCCCCCACATGAACATATGTATTGGAATTCTGCTCAGCTCTACTCTCTGGAATAAACCACACATACTGCACCTAAGTAGAAAGTCAGGAATAATTTATCGAGACACAGACATCACAAAATCAACTCATAACTCTAGCATGATAAATCTTATTTGCAGAATATGGCAAAATGAAAGTCTTTTTTAAACTAAGCATTTGTAGAATTTTATTGATGCATTTTTCAAATTATCAAACTTTGACAAATCAAAATAATGATACTATGAAAGTCATTTGTTTATATGAATAACAGTAAGGAACATGGTTATAAGCAAAGTTGAATAAATGTCATCCATGTTAGGTTGTTTAATAAAAATTCAACCTTATATTAAAATGAAAAGGGATCATGACATGGTACTTAGAAAGTGATCAGTTTATTATACTAATTCTATCACCAAGCTTTGTTGGTTTTATCTCCAGAATATCCCTGGAATTCTTTCACTTTTCACCTTCTTCATCGCTATACTCTAGATCAAACTGGCAAATGGAGTGGCTTCTTACCTGATGATTGTGCTTCTACTTTTTTCTCCTAGAATCTATTTTCCAGAGAGCATTTAGAAAGATCTTTTAAAAACATGTTATCACATTATGTCACCTTTTTGCTTAAAAAACCTCAGTGGTTTCCTATTTCCATAACACCGATAAACAGTAGATTTAGTGATCTAGCCCCTGCCTCCTTCCTCAGCCCCATTCTCTCTCTTACACAGATTACTACAGACACATTGGATTTCCACCTTCATACACTAAGCTTGTTCCTCCTTAGAGCATCTAAATTTGCTGGTCCTTCTAGTAATGCTTTGTTCCCAATTCCTTCTACTGCTGTCTTCTCATCTTTCAGTCTCAGGTCAAGTGTCATTTCAACAGAGAGATCTTTCCTTGACCATCCTTATTCTAAAATGATACCTCAATACCCTTTCCTGCTCCCAGATCGCGCCCCGGCATCCCTCGCCCCATGTAATAGTGATTCTGTCCTACTGCTTTAGTTCCCTCTTACCACTTAACGCTACTTTAAATTGCCCTGTTTACTTAATAGATTATTTCTTTGTTTGTCTCTCCTCCTTTGAATGTAAAAGCCTCAAGAGTCACTTGTGGCTATTTGAATTTAAATTAATTAAAGAATTCAGTCCCTTATACCCACTAGCCACAGGTAGCTAGTGGCTACTGTGTTGGACAGAGCAGATGCAGAATATCTGCATCACCACAAAATATTTTATTGTAAACAATGAATGCCTAGAATAGTACTTGGCATGTATTGTGTATGCAACAAAAATTTATTAAATTAATTAATTGGCACATAGTATATATGCAACAAAAATTTATTAGATTAATTAGTAAATAAATTAAGGAATTGTGTCCTATTTTGGTTATCACATGTCAGGAAGGAACTGGAGATATGGAAGGTAAAGAAACCAAATTCATATTTGTTTCCTAGTAGGTGGTACTCAATTGACAATCATAATGGACTTTTTAGAGGTGTGCTGAGCAATTATGTGTCTATAAGAAAATTAGGCAAGAGGAAGTTAACATTTCCTTGGCTGTAGGGAAGAATATCTGACCCTAAGTCTGATAAATATTAAAACACGATATTAAGAAAGATTATTGAGTTTTGAGCAGTAAAAATTATCATGAAGAAAAAAAGATCATCTGTCCAAAATGATGAAGAAGAGGCAGTTGGCTAAACCAATAATATAGTATCAACCCTGTGATCAGGGTTACTGATAATGTATACTTGAGAAGGAGAAAATGTTCCACTTGAAAACTTATGACTTACCTAGTTGGTCTTGAAGAACAATAATTTTTATAGTGATATGTTAATTGTATCAGATCTGTACCTATACAAAAGTCACAGCATCTGGCCAAATAATCTCCAGTTTTGTGGTTCTGTTACTACAAGTAACTGTGTGTGAAAATATTTATGTCTGCCCCCAGTTTTCCTATGCAAATAACTGAGCAGTATAGTCCTGGCCAGCAATTAACTGCTCTTTTTCCCCCTGTCTGCAATTAATGAGAACTGACACTTTCAGAAACTTCAAATCTTAAAATATGCCTATTTTTTCAAATTGGAAACTTAGCATTATTGATTTCAAATAAGATTAAAGCTCGATTTTACATTTATTTTATACAATCACAGAGTTGAATCTAAAGCTCAAAGGAACTTTAGAATTCATAAGGCCTAAGCACTTCATTTTTTCAGATGAGGAAACCAGAACCTAAAGGAGTTGAATTGCCCAAGATCACATACTAGTAGAAAAGGGATTATCTGTCTAAAATACACAAAAAAATTAGTGATTAAAAAAAAAAATCCATTGGAGGTGTATGATTATGTATTTGAAGACACTAAAGAATAATATGCTTTACTGGATTTTTTTTTTTTTTTTTAAACACAGCTGTAGATACGCATGTTATTTCAGACCTCTTTGTATATACCTATGATTTGTAGAGAAAAAATATTCAGGTTTTTTCATTCGTCAGGTGATAAAAGAATTGTAGAATTGTGAGAGCTACAAGAATACTTAAAGATGTAGTTTCCAAAGTATATTAATATTATTACACATTTCTAGAATGCTCACAAAATGTAGGGCAGGAAGAAAAGTCACATGAACTAAAGTCATTCTTCAGGTAAAAGATAAATACAATATTCACTTTGTAAAATGTTGCTCAGTGTTCATCACTACAGTCTACACAGCAGTAGTATTTCATAAATGGTTTGCTAAAAGGCCTTATATTGCACAAATTCATGCTTTGGTTATATCTATTCCATGGAGTTATATCATAATAGGAAATTTTATCAGAAAGTTAAGTAACAAAGATTAATGGGTAAATAAATCATAATATATAATATAATGTAAGTATCAGTCACCTAGCGGTTGACAAGTTTAGTCTCTAATTTAAAACTAGTTAACAACTTAGTTAACTAGCTAACAACTTAACAACTTTGGTCTGTGTAGGACTTCATGTTACAAACTTCAGCTCTAGCAATATCTTTGGTCCAAAGCAAGTCACTTTTCTTTCTTCTCTTTTGTTTCCTTAACTATAAAATGGAAACTAATTTTAGTTCTTTAGATTCCACTATGGTTTAGATTAGGAAAACTTTTAAAATTAGTTCAATGCATACATACCTTCAAAAAGGTTAAAGACCTACCAAACAACTTGTTTGATTTTTATCTCTGCAGAAGTGTTCTTTTGTGTTTTGTTTTCCTCCTTTGTTATTTATAAAAAAGGATCTCTTTATAATTACGGCTACTTTTCTCCTTTGGTAGTAGTAAACATCAATGCAGTATATGATTTTAAGAGAAGAAATTTATTTAACTTAACAAAATGGCTTTAAGAAGCCCATGGAAACTTCATGTGGATCAAGTGATTTGAACGACTCTTCTAGCTGATTGCATTAATCAATATAAATTAAAAGTTTAATGTGTGTAAATCATGAGTAAAATAATTAGATTATACCAAATAAAGCAACTTGGAGTATATAAATCTTATAAGCACATAATAATGAGATTCTGAGTGTTGTGCCATCTGTTTTTATTCTTTCTTTTACCTGAAGTTACCAAACCTGTAAAAGCTCTATTTACAGAGACACAGAATTGTATTTTACATTTTAAACTAGAAAAGTTAAATATGTAGATGCAAACAAGTTTCTAATTTTTATTTTCAAAGGTGATCCAATCTAGTGATTTTGGATTATTCCAAATAACAATCGTGTTACTTTAGCCTAAATTATCCACATAAATCGGATAAATTTGGCCTTCTTCTTGCTAATCGGGATATGTTTAACCACATTCATAAAGGTGAAAGAAGTTAAGCCATCATATTTTTTTTCCAAGAATAAAATCTTATATTGTTCATTATTGCTTTTCCCATTCCTTCTAAATTAAATAAATGTTTTCAACACAATCTCGAAAGATGGCATATTCCAGTAAGGCTTTAGGAGCCTTCTTTAGAAATACTAATTATTATTAAACAACATATCTTGCTATTATACTACTAAATACTATGATCTACATCAGGGGACTTCATTTAAGAAAGATACATTTTAAATCAAACAATTTAACTTTGAAAATTTGTCACATTTCCACAAAGGAAAACTTCAAGATAAGTATATGCAGTATTTAAATTTTTTTTTTTTTTTTTTAGATGTGATTATGGTATATCTTGTAATAGCCAGTACTGGGTCCAGGCAGCATCTGAAATAAGAGACCTCTAAGGAAATTCTAAGATTTTGCAGGAAGTAATATTAGTGATTCAGTATAGAACATTCTTCCCAAGTCAGAAGAGCTGAGTGTTGGAGCACAGCATTATTAAAAGCCTTATCTTTCTACTGTGCAGGTGCAGGAATGCTAAAGCTA